CTGCTGCAGCGCCCGTCACCGGGGTTAAATGTTTAAGTTGCGTTGTGCGAGGCGGAGGGGAAGCCACTACCCACAGCATTATACCGTTCCACAACAGGAGCCGTGAAACCACACCAAAACAGTGACGTGCCTTTTAGATTTCACAGCTGTTGGGACTCTGGGCAGGCACAGACAGCAAATCCCCAGAAAGCCACCAAAACAAGCCACATTAAGACATAATTACAGGTTGCTTTGGCTTCCTAACCTCAGTGCATCCCAACTAACCAAGTTATAGTCCCTTACAGTAAAGGGTGGGTTCCCCCCTGCCCCTAATGAACGGTTGTCACACGCAGAGGGGTGTAAGAGGGGGGCCCTTCCCAACAGCCACACGCCCCGCTGTGATTTTCTCTTACATTCAGACACATAAGCTTAAACTCCCAAAGCCACCGTTTCTTCTTCACCCTCCTGGGGGTTTGTTTGAGGGTTTTTGCCCCCTTCCCCCAGGTGCCTTTCAGTCACCCAGCCAAGCTGCTGCACTTTCAGCAGAGAAGCAGTCCTTTTTTCTGCTGCTGGACACAACCTGGGGAAATTTCCCGCATTTAGATTCAACAATGCTGCTCTTATCTCCAGCTCATCTCGGGAGAGACAATTACCATTTCCTCTGCCTTGATCTTGTTTGTTTAACTTGACACAGTGAAGAAAAGGGCTGACATTGACCAAAATCCCCAGCATTAATTTATCTCATGTTCGGCATTCATCATTGCCACCAGGCAGGACAGGCAGGCAGCCACTGAAATACCACACCACGGAAGAAAAACAAAGCTGGCTGGCAAACCGCGCGCAAGAGGGGCCGGGCAAGCAAACACACCAGGAGCACCCAGACCGCTTAAGGTACAACCCTGACAAAAGCAGGTGTGTGGGTTGTCAGTGTCCTTCCCTCCTAAAACGGGAGACAAAGTCAGTCCAGGAGTTAAAATGGGCTCAGGTGGACCAGGCGCGCTTTAACCACAGCCTCCTGCCTCAAAACATCCAGAACCGTTGAGGATCTACCAATGGCCTAACAGAGCCAGGCCAAGTCAGCGCGCAGGAGTGTGCCACGCACCTTCCCCCGACAACTGCATCCCGCTCAGTATATTCCAACAACGTGTCCCTGCTAGAAGCGCCACATTCCGGTCTGCGCTGCCATACACTCTGCAAAGCAGACTGCTCTTCACGTCTCGTTCTTTCCACACACAATAAAATCCTTCAATCCCAAAGCTTTCTGTGCGTCGCCTCTCCGGTGCCCCGGCAAACGGCAGCACCGCTGCCGCGCTGACCCCGGTAACGCCCACCCTGCCGCAGCGGGGAAGCGATGAAATACCCATGCCCCTGCTCGGCTACAGTCTCCGCTTCCCTCGTAACCTACCTGCAGAAACTCGTTGAGCTCAACCTGCCCGTTTTTGTTCAGATCCACCTCATTGAGAATATCGTGAAGCGTATTCTCAGCGATCTGCACGCTGATGCTCTAGACAAAGAGGCACAGAAGGAGGTCAGCTGGATCGTCCGGCACCCTATGCCGCAGGCGGAAATTCAGACAAGAGGCTTCAAAAAGGAATGTGGAAGAGCACAGGGAAACGGTACCTCCAAGACACGCTGCACATCCAGTATAGTAATAAACCCTTTCTTGTCCTTGTCAAACATGTGGAAGCGCTTCTTGTACCTGCAAGATAAGGATTATCAGGGGGAAAAACCGCACTCGGCAGAACGACAGGTGTTAATTCCACGCGGCACAGGGAACTCTCTTGCTTTACTTACCTTTCAATATCTGAAGGCATTAGGCTGATCTCAGAGCTGTCTGTTAATTGATCTGATTTTACTTTGTAGCCCATCTCATAGTAGAGAAATTTTTTAGCAGCTTCTAGTTCTTCCTACAACAAAAAAACAAACAAACCTGTATCTGAGGAATAGCAAGGTCTTACAGAAGTATTTTAATGTACCATTTATCAGGTGCTTCCACTTGACTGGAATTTACTAGAGATCCAAAAATGAAGCAGATGGTAACAGACAGGTACTCAAAAAATAAGTTAGGCTTAGGCACTTCTCAGTCCTGAGAAGCAGTTATCTAGTGAGGAGTTCCAGCTCCTGTGCAAAGGCTGTTGCACACCACGCTGCAGTCACATGCGGTGCATCGACCGCTGCGTGAAGACGGGCCTTGCACATCAGCCCACCAAGTGCCGTTCTGCTCAGAGCTGCGACCCAAGCGCAGCGCTGCACCCGCCTGTCTAAAATCAGCAAAACGAAATCAAAAAAACCAAACCAAGATCCATAGCAGCGAGAGATGCCGCAGCACAGACCCACATCTAGCAAAGACTTGGTCTAACGTGCCTTCACAAACAAGTAAACTACAACAGACCGGCCAGAGAACCTCCTCTGAAAGGACAGGAGACTTTTCAGAAAGAAACTGGGTGGACGCTCTGGGGAGACCCCCCTGCAGTTCTGCTCCAGCTCTGGGCCCCAACAGCAGAAGGACACGGAGCTGTTGGAGCGAGTCCAGAGGAGGCCCCGGAGATGCTCCAAGGGCTGGAGCCCCTCTGCCATGGGGACAGGCTGGGAGAAATGGGGGGTTCAGCCTGGAGAAGGGAAGACTCCAGGGAGACCTTAGAGCCCCTTCTAGTGCCTGGGGTTTGTACAAGAAAGCTGGGGGGGACTTTTTCCAAGGGCAGGGAGTGACAGGACAGGGGGTGCCAGGGTTTAAATGGAAAGAGGGATATTGAGATGGAACATCAGGAAGGAATGCAGGTTTTGGTGGGAATGGGAGCCCAACTCCCCAGGTACAAGCTGCTGTCCACACAGCCCTAATGTCATGCTGGTTTGGGGTTCTTTGCTTTGCAAGCTTCCCATTTGCTAACGTGCTGTTAGGAAGAATCGATACAGGTTTGTTTTACACGGTGAGTTACACACGAGCACGGCTCGCTGGGTAAGGGGAGACACCTCTAACTCCGGCCAAATGCCTCTGCCTGTGAGGATGCTCAACATACGCGCACAGAAGCACAGCTCACAGGTGTGCCACCATGCCATCCCTTTCTTTATGCGTTCCTGAGGGGAAGAATTCCTGCAGGTCATCTGGCTGGCAGGATTCAAATGAGCTCCTGGTCAATCTTAGACTTCTAACTGGCTGAAAGGTGTCACAAACAGTCCAAGGGAAGCTTCCCATGCCCTGTGGGGCAGAAGAGGTAGGTGAGCATGCACAGGTTTGCTTCAGAGGGAAAGAATTCCCAAACCACATGTCCCATTTGGGTACAGCACTCGCACTGTGCTGGACAGCATTACAAGGCAGGCTCTGGTGTTCCGGGCATTTATCTTAGTGTGACAGCAGAAAGAAGCGATAATGGGTAACTTAGAGGATGTGACAGTTCAGAAGGGGCAGGATTCACATCAGTAAGTGGGATGTCTGCATCCAAGCTCGTTACCCAAGGCACTCCTGACAGTTTGTGGCCATCTACTCAGGGCTGCAGGGTGCAACTGGAGGCAGGCACAGGAGATGCCTTCACTGGGGAAAGTCATCTGCCCACAGTTAGCTCGCTGCGGAGCGGGCATGGAGACTGGCTCCGACAGGGACAGCCGCTTACCAACCCGGCAAGAGGAGTCCCACGCTGTACGTCTGAGCACAGACCCACTGGGGGCACAGGCAGCTAACAATCACCTTAAAAATTAATTAAGGCCAGAGAACGGTGCAAACTCACTACTGTCAGTTTTCAGAAGACAAGCAGATAAAAAGGAGTGACACAGTTTACAAGATCCTCCTTTTCTGAGGCAGATGTGTTGAAAAACCTCAGTCAACAAAACGCTTGGACGGGAATAGGGTAGCAATGCCCAGCCTGCTCTCATTTTTCAAGCTGGGGAACTGCTGGATGCAGATCTTCACTCTCCCCTCCACCCTCCCGCCAATACCAACGTATTTCACAGCTACTCTGATAAAGCCTTATAATGAAATACGCCAAGGGAAGCCCCTCTCAGGAAGGAAGCATCACTTGAAGGTTCCTGTTCGACTAACGCAGATCCTTGATGTGGAAACTGCTGAAGAAAACCCAGTTTCAGTTGGAAAAGGCCCTTTGTACCTTTTTCTTCTGCTCACTCCAGTTAAGTTCTTTCCCCATTATATCGACAATTCTTGGCAGGGCTTCCTCCGCCGCCTGCACGTTCAGGAAGGCCAAGCGCGTACGTCGGGAGATCATATCCACTGCCGTGCGGGCGTACTCCTTAACGCCATAGACAACCTAGAGCAGCAAGACAAGGGGAAGGTTGCAGGCGAGAAGGTTGGCAGGCACTGTAGGAAGTTCTGTTCAGCACCACAGACCGCTGTGCCTGGCTCTACAAAACCAACTTCTGGTAGCTAGTTCCCACCTAACCAAGAGAGGGGTTTGAAAAGCTCCCTTGTCCTTGGAACAGGTTATGAACATGCACCCGGATCAAACATGTCTGGGCTTTATTTCATATATATGCCAAATAACTATAAATATTTAATATATTCTAAATACATTCATATGTATAAACATAAAACCAACACATGCTCGGGGAAGGGGAAGAGGAAAAACAAGAACAGAAAGAAAATCTGGAGCTCACCAAAGGCAAGGTCTTATGGAGGTGTTCTACAGAGCGACCCGACCTGCCCTCGAACCTGCGTATCCCAAGAAAAGAACCAAAGGACATTACATGGCTCTTCCACTTACCTCAGCTTCGATATACGGAAACTCAGACACAAGACGTTTTCCAACGATAGGCCATCTCTTTCCTGTAACTTGGGCTATTTTTGCCACCTCAAAAGCCTTGTCACCGTACGTCGAAGCTAGATGCTGAGCCACCTGAGGAGTTGAACAAATCCAGCATGTTTTTGAAAGCACATCGAAAAGACGTTTTTCTTGTCAATTCTCTCATCACTAATAACAAAAAGGCTGAAGACGATATTGGGTTTTGCGAACTCAGGAGGAAACCACTTGTGTTGTGCAGGGGTTAGGCCAGCACTGCCATCCCTGCGTGTCTATCGACGTGACCGACTACCGATGCTCCAACTCTTCAGCCACACTGCGATCATGTCTGAAGCACAGATTTTGTTGGGCTCAAAGGAAGGCAGACCCTGGCACGTCAACACACTTCAAAGCAGGAAATAGTCAAGGTCAGGAGGAAGGGAAAAGGGAAGGAAAGAACGATTACCAGAACTTCATTCTGTTAAAACTGTCCTTGTCCTGGCCAGATAAGAAGCTCTTACCAGGCCCAAGCAGACCTGTACAAGTCGTGCTGTTACTAGATTTGGTGGGAAAACAAACCCGTCCAACACAGAAACATCAGAGCACCAACAGAAACCGCGACCCACCTCACTTTCAAGTCCATAGTCTTGGACCAGCCTAATGTAGAGCGTGGGACTCCACTCCTCAGCCCCCTGCAGCTGCAGCCCGATGGTCTTACTGGAACCCGCCTTCAGGTCGTGCGCCTGAACAGCGGCATCGATGGTGTCCTGCGCCATGGCACGGTACGTTGTCCACTTGCCACCTGCAACCACGCGTGTACACCAGGAAATTCGTAAGTGAGCTGGGGCAAGCAAGGGCAATACAAAGTCGCTACATACTACATACGTCGCGTTACTCTTACTAGACTTGCTCCAACACGCCAGTCACGCTACCACTGGCAGATCATCCCCTAATTACCGGAGTGTGAAGGATTATCCTGTAACAAATCCCCCTTTTTAATAAGATACATGGGGGAAGCCCAACGCAGCTGTACTTGAAGCGTTTCCGGTACCTGCTATGGTGACAAGACCACTATCGCTAATGGTGACAACGTGATTCCGGGATATGGACTGCGTGTCTTTGGAGTTGGGGTCCGTGACCAGGGGACGAATGCCACTCCACGCTGCCAACACGTCTCCTCTTCGCACTGTCAGAAACCAAAGAGCAGGCAGAGTCAGCCGGGAGCTGATGGGCCTTTATCCCGTGTCCCTCCCCGCTCCCTGCGGCATTGCCGCCGAGTAGTAGTTGCCATGAAACAAGGACTGCCCCACACCCTGCTTGTTAGCTGAGCAACTCGGAAAGCTGGAGAGGATTCTCCAAAGTAATGGGATACGCTGGGCTACGGAATCAAGACCCAGCACTCCCTCAGTCGGTACCAATAATATTCTCTAGCCCAAACCAGATTGGTCCGTTCTTCACACTGGTTAAAATCCAACGGGACAGAGATATCCTGGGAACCGATCAGCCAAGAGATTCAACTGTCAAACTCAATGATCAGCTCAAACACCAGCCCCAAAAAACAACCCCTGCCAAACCAAACACCCCTCCCAGGTCTTGTCTGCTTGCGCCAGGAGGACAGTCCTGACGCTACATTCAGGAACCCGAAGAGTGTCTGTTCCACGCGGGCGCAACCCTCGCGTTCAGGACCGCGACGCTTTTTCTACAGCTCGTAGGTCATTTTTCCAAGTTTTCCTCTTGATCTTTACCAGAAGTGCAGTTACACACAGACATAAGGAGCAGTTTTATGGCAAGGCTGTGGTCGGCTGTAGCACACAGCTTGCCCCCACACCCGCGTTCGCTACCACACAACGACCCAGAGAGCCCCCGACAGAAGTTCACACTGCTCCTACACCACCGCCTCCTCCAGCCCTGCCGACGCTCCCTCCTCCTCATCCCCGCTTCCGCGATGTCGTCCCACTCCCCAGGCAGCCCGACTGCCTTCCCCGTGCTGAGCAGAGCCCCAGGCCAACGCCAGCAGACCTGGAGGAAGCAAAGCTGAAGGCATCGCACGTCCCAGCAGCCCTTAAGAGCGGCAGGGCCCCCCCGAAGGTCACTTTCTGGAAGACACAAACCACGGGGCCGACAGAGAATTCAGGGAAATCAGTTCTGGTGCTCATTCAACTTGCAACAGAAAAACTGACCGATGCGCTTTACGCTGAGGTCTTTGGAACATTTGTATTTTTAATACAACTTTCAAATAAATGATAATTGAAAAATCGGTAACAGGGTGTAAAAATATCCCCAAAGAGCACAAAATAGATTTCAGAAATCAGTGGTGCTCTGCCAGCGTGTTTAACCTGCCAAAATGAAGTGTTAATCACAGAAATAAGATACCATATTACGTTTATAAACTAATGAAAGTAGAAGCAGCAGCACGGGTGACACCGTAATTAAACAGCTGGAACGCGTCCAAGCCTGTGTAAGTCGATAACCCTGGCACTGTCTCTGGCAGCGAAAAGGCAGGTCTGCGGCGCGCTGATACGGGCAGCGCGGTGGTTAACCCGGTAACAAGCAATCCATAAACGCTGCTCGTGGCGCGCGTGAAGGACAGCGCGCAGGTGGGCTTCGTTCGGGAGGATTAAGCACTTAGAATGCACTTCCGTAAAATACCTGGCGAATTCCGTCTCCCAGTTTTAACCCCCACTGGCCGGCCTGCTGCACGCACTCACACTGGCCTCTGCTCGGGAAACCCAAGGGACGCTTCCTGGAGACTTTTCCTTACGCAATACGGAGCCACCCACTGCCCGCTCTGGGAAACAAGTAACTAGTGTTTCCGGTCTCCGGACAGCAAGTTTCCCTAAACCCAAGGAGGTGGCGATGCTCCTGACCGGGCGCTTCTCGGATTTGTTTTAATGCTGCTGCGACAGCAGAAACGCAGAAGTACTGATGCATCCTCGGACAACTGTGTCCTCAGACAACAAGACCTGGATGTCTTCAAGACCAGGCTGGATGAGGCTTGGAGCACCCTGGGCTATGGAAGGTGTCCCTGCCCATGGCAGGGGGGTTGGAACTGGATGATCTTTGAGGTCCCTTCCAACCCAAACCATTCTGTGATTCTATGACTCTAACTACAGTAACCCACTCACTGTGAGGGAAAGACACCCCTCTCCGGGTCAAAGCCGGCCAGTATCTCCAACAAATGTGCTCTCGGCTACTGAGGGGAACAACCATCACTGAATAATTGTTATGCCTCCCCCTTTTTGCCCATTGCGCTTCCCTCTCCCACTGAAAACTTACACTATTTGGTATTCACCAAATCAATCCAGAGAAGTACATTCTACGAGTCAACTGCACAGAAAAAGGGCAATACAGACAGGACAAGTCAGAACAAGGCTTCCTTCAAGAAAAGCAGGTGAAGGATTTGATGTGCTTGTGCTGGCACGTGACCGCAGTGCCCCAAAACCTCATGTCTGCCACCCAAAGAGACCTGAAGGACTCGGCTGTGGAGCTGGGCGGTTAGTGCCAGCGAGAGGAAGGGGGTGTGACATCCAAACATGCAGGTACCAACAGATTTCCATTTAAAGAGCCCAAGCTCTGCGGGTGTATCTGGTAAAGCATCACTTGTGGCTCCGATGCAGAGCTCGAGACGATGTGTACGGCACACCAGCTGTGGGAACAGCCAGATGCTCAAGACCCACCGTTATCCGTGGGAAGCTGCGGACAGACAGCATTTACCCAAACTGTAATGCACAGGCTCGGCGGTGCCTCCCCAGGGAAACCAGAGCCAGCGAAGGTTTACCTTCGACATCAACGCTCAGGTAGTTGCGCACTTCATTCAAAATGAAGTTGATATCCTCTTCCGTCGGTATCGGATGGGAAGTGACATCCGTCGGGCTGTCGGTGGTCCCCGCGATGGTCATCTTCTCCCACGGCAGGAAGAAGATCACTCTACCGTCGCTGGTGGCTGGGTCCAGCAGACCCATATTGTCCGGGCTGAAATAAAGAAGGGACGTGGGTCAAAACGGGTCAGGCATCACCAGGGATTCTGTTCGCACACACCCCGTACCCTCGATGGTTTCAGAGCACTACCTTTGTCTTAGGTTAAATAATTAAATAATAAGTAACAACCAGAGATTTCACACGAGGGTGTAACCTGGCTTCAAAAGTTAGTCCCAGGCATTTGTGAGCAATAAGGCCCTTGCACGTGATGCTCAGGTACGACCAGAATTTGATTTCTTCAGCATGTTTGCAGAGCACAGGGCCTCTGGCATCTCACATCTCCACCTGCTCCTGAAAATCTTGCTCAGAGGAATTTACAATATAAGCATTTGGAAATAGGAAAACAGCAATGACGTGGAACTCGTTATGGAACAGACAACTGCTTAGAATCAAAAAACCAGACAATAATTTGCATTATGCCCCAAAGGACAGGGAAAGCTGAGACGGGATGCACACGGGGAGTGAAGAAACCAGAACAGGAGCCTTAGTTCTGCTTTGACGTGTCCGAGTATGTAACAATGAAAATTCAGGATGAATCGGTATCAACCCAAGTTATCCATCATCTGCTCCCTACGGAGAGGGCAAAAGACAGACAAAACCCCCATGACTTCCACAACCTGCCCTCGCAGCGAGGGGGGCGGGGAACGGGGTGAGGGCTGGGAACAGAAGGCACAGGTGGTGCCAAGAGGAGACCAGCGACACCGAAATCCCAAGCGTTACGAGCAGAGACAGCAGAACTCCAGTCATCCCGCAGCCGAGGCTGCCGCCCGCCCGCCGCGCAAAGAGGAACGAGCGCCTGCGGCTTCCCAAAGGGTTCGGAACTTCCGAACGCTCCCCACCCTCCTGCGGCCTTCCTGAACAGGGAAGCGGGTTTTATGGAAGAAAAGGCAAAAGTCGTCACCTCCACAGCAACGAACAGACGCGAACTGCACGCTGCTGTTCAGAGAGGTTTCGCTTACCGTTGCCAGCCCACAGACAGAATGACTCGGCAAACGCAGGGAACCTCCTCATTCCGGAGATTTTAACTTGTGTGTAAATGTCTCCTGCTGTTAAAAAGTAACATATCCACATGTACAAACCCGTTATCCTCATTTATTGAACAGCCCGGCCTGTATTGCAGAAAACAAAAGGCTTCTATAAGCCCTGCAAAGCAAACAGCTTTTACACAGGAGAACACCTAATCTGCCCCTTTTCCACGCGTTTTCATTCAAAGAAGAGATGCCGACTCCATTTCAGGGCTGGAAGCCCTGGCAAAAACATCTGCAGCCCGTTTTGCAGCCGGCAGGTGTGGCACCTACTCCCGAAAGCAGGAGGAGACCTGGGAGGAGGGCAGAGGTGAGCATTCCGGTGGTGGCAAGGGCCGTTACACAGCACGCTGGAGGCAGCCCGACCCGCCTGGATACGCACTGCCCGTCCGAGAGCCGCAAGCTGCACCGCCGGGCATTTCGGCTTTGGGAACTCTAAACTGACGACTGAAGGTAAGTTTTCAGTGTCTGGGAAGGCTGGGGGAGAAGCTGAAAATCTCATATACAGCATGTATATTAGAACATTTTTTAGATGATATTTGTAGACAGCTTAGGCACACAGTGGAGAGGTACGATTTAATAGGGGAAGTCAACACAGATTGGTGAAAGGTAAATCACGTCAGACACATGATTACTTTTTAAAATGAAAAAGCTATTGATTTAGAGACAGAGGAAGCCAGGGATTTAATACACAGTACCAGAATATTCAGACAACTTTAGATATTTTCTCCAAAGTATGAATAGTTTAAGTGATTTCAGGAAAAACTATCAAAAATAAGAAAGAGAAACAGGTAAAGACTTAAAACCAAGTTCCATCACACCACCCATGGACTGAAGTGTTTGTAATTAGATGACACAGCAAATGATGAGAAAGGATGAAACCGTTTTCCGTGTGCCAATTAATTTACCCAACTAATGACTACCGACTATCCAGGAAGCACTCTCCATCTCCCATGGCTACGTTTATTCCATCTTATAACTGAAGAGCCACCAAAACTACTTTGAAATAAGGTGTTTCCCATCCGACTCCCCTGGAGTCAGCTGTCACACACCCAACGGAACAACACGTTTTTTATAAGACACTGGTCCTCCCAGCTACCAAACGGCTGCAAGAACGTCGCAGTGGCGATACCAGCTATTGTAAGGTTCATAGAACCATAGAATGGTTTGGGTTGGAAGGGACCTTAAAGATCATCCAGTGCCACCCCCTGCCACGGGCAGGGACACCTTCCACAGCCCAGGGTGCTCCAAGCCTCATCCAGCCTGGCCTTGGACACTCCCAGGGATGGGGCATCCACAGCTTCTCTGGGAACCTGTCCCAGTGCCTCCCCACCCTCTGCGGGAAGAATTCCTTCCTGATGTCCAATCTAAACCTCCCCACTTTCAGTTTAAACCCGTTACCCCTTGTCCTGTCACTACAGGCCCTTGTAAAAAGCCCCCCCAGCTTCCTTGTAGCCCCTCCAGGTACTGGAAGGGGCTCTAAGTTTCTCTAATCATCTGTGAAGACGACTACAACGGGCAACGCCGGGACTGTCAAGTCTCACACGGGTGTAAAGCAATGCCTTTACCCAGGAACACGGTGGCAAACAGACAGCCTTGGAGCGTGACAGAGATGGATCTGAAGTGGCTCTGTGAGCAAAGCAAACACCACGACACGGGGCCGAACACTAAAGCCACAATACAGCATCAGGAGCTGGCTTTACACAACTGAATGTGCTCGGGGCACGGCTACTTCTTAAAAGCTTCCTGTTCCAAAGGGCAGTTAAACTGCGCACGGCATCTGCCAAAACCAGTGCATGAATCATAGAATCACTAGGTTG